GGAGCAAGAGAGGACACTGCAAGAGGGAGCTGCAACGGACCAGGCGGGTCTGGGGATCCTCGGCCTGTTCCAGCGTCGTGCCTCCTTTCAGTCTCGGGGAAAGGGGTGCCACAAGCGGGGGGGGGCCTGGGCGCGCGCAGGGGGGGGGGCAAGAGGAGGGGGCGTCCTGTTGTAATAATCAACAACCTCTTGGTCGGTGAGAGCCTGCGCTTTCTCAATACCTCCGAAGAATTCTTGCGTGTGCTGCGCCGCCAGATCAGAGGGGGCTAGCGGGTCGCCCTGGCTATCGAGCATGTGCGGGACGGCCGTGGGCTTTTTATTACGCCCCCCGAAGCGCAGAAGCTTGTGGTACCTTTGCCAGGCCTGTCTGGCCATGCCCCCGTCGACAGACAGCTGAGCCTCCTGCGCAGTGCCTTCGAGAAAGAGAACCTGTCTTTTTCGAGCTGGTTGGCAAGAGCATGCTTGGATCTAAGAACAAAGGCATGGAGGGCAAGCGTGAACTCGTCGTGGTGCGCAGCACCATTGATTGAGACAACGAAGGGCAACCTGCCTCACAGAAGTGTAAAGGGCGTCCCACGGAGAGTCCAGGAGTTTTTTGTGTCCCTGGCCGAGGTCCCCACTGGTCCACCGACCCGCAAAGTGAGAGAGAATCCTAGGAACAGTGGCCCCAGGAGGCAGGACCGAGGGACGCGCCACCTTGCGCAAGACACGAAGGGCTCCGCGGCGGGCAAGCACAAGCAGGTGGGAGGAAGCAGAGATGTACGATTGTCTGGGACGACTCCCTGGGCGGGTGAAAACCTCCTTCGCAACTTGGTTAACCTGCTTGGTGACCGAGGTTATGTGTTCCGATGGGGAAACTGACCACCCTATGGGGGGAATCTTCGAGAGACGTTCCTGAAACTGCGCGACTCTGTCGGGGTCTCTGAGAAGATCATCGTCCAGCCGTGTCGACGAGGTTTGACGAACAACTCCCTCCTGATGAAGAGTGAGATTGGCAAGCACGGGAAGATGGTCACGCTGCTTAGAGAAGTTGTCAAGCTCCTTCCAAGTGTGAACGCCAGAGATGTTGGAAGCCATGCCCAGGGCAACACATACGTAGTCTACGCGGTGCCGAACATTCTTGTTGGTGACCAATGTGTAGTCGTCACTATCACCTTGCATGGTGTTGACAGCTACCAGAGCCGCTTCGTTGAGAGATTGCCTGAATCTCGTCCCAGGAGGGTCCTCGTCCTGGCAAAATCCCTGATCCCCAACCGTAGCGTCCGTGTGGGTGCCGAGTCGCGCATTTGCGTCGACAAGCATGATTTGGACTCCCCAGGCGGCAAGCTGTTCGTCCAGGAGGGTCCATAAGGCGTCCCGGTCCGAAGCTTTGTGGCCAGAATGATACGCATGAGCAACGGCAACAGTGAGTTCAAGTCCTGGTGCTTGAGTCCGCACGATTAGAGGACGGGGAGCGGCATATAGCACAGAGAGATGGCGGGGATGAAAGAGCAAAGGGCGGCCATTGCACTGTCCGTAGGGTTCCTCAAGGTTGACCCAAAGCTCAACTCCCGCCGAGTGATTAATGTGTCCTGAAGCCAAAACCTGGTAGGCGCCCTTTCTCTTCGAGCCCTGGGGGGTCCGCGCCTCCTGGATCCCAACGAGATGGATTTTCTTGTCACGAAAATGTTGCCGAGTCATGTGGGACCGCATGCCTTGGACGTAGGCGTTGCTCGACTTTTTCTGGGAAGCCGCAAGTGAGCGCGTGTTATACTGGGCCAATGAGAGAGCAATCGCTTGATGCTGCAGACGCGTGGAGGCAGGAGTGACGAGGTCACGAACGGTGGCATGAGAGCATGGCATCGAAGCGACGAAAGAGAGATGACTGCATTCACCAACTTGCATCTGCACAAGAGAAGGATAAGCTGAGGCAACCTCTGATGGGGCGTCGAGGAGCCAAGCCCATTCAACGGCACGGGTAAAATCAGTTAGATCATACAGGGGTGCGGGTAACATAGAAGGATGTAACTTACCTTTCATGGTGGCCCGAGCGATGTTGTCCACGATAGTGTTCCAGGGATGTTCCACGTGCCCTTTGACGTGGCATATCTGGATTTCGCACCGATGTCTACTTCTGGCCAGAAGCGCGTAGGTGAGTCAGGCGATATCTCTGTTAGCCTTGCTGTTGGACCTGCCATTGAGAAATTCAACAGCATTAAGGCTGTCACTCCAGATGGTGACTGGCACAGGCGCTTCTTGAGCGAGGGCAGCAAGCAGGGCCCAGGCTATGGCGAGAAGCTCAACATCCGTGCTATCCAAGTCTTTGGGGAGGTCCAGAATACAGGATTGGGTCCACTGGGAACAGACGAACCCCCCATAGGCATAGCCTTCCTTGTCCTGAGAGAGCGCGACCAACCCCCAGCTCGCAGTGGTGCTATCGGATGGGTCGATCGACGCATCTGCATAATAGCGTTGGTGCTCCCAACCACCGGGCCTGGGCGGACAAAGACTGAGGGCCGCGCTTCCTGGTTCCTCCAAATCGGGGACAGCCTCGCGTCGCCACACGAGAGAGTACCTGACGTCCCTGTCAAGCCATGCAGTGGGGAGACGGCCGAGATCGCAATGCAGGGGCGATGGAGACACGGGCGGCGACGATCGATGCGAGCGGGACTGTTCCGCAAGGCGCTCCGAGATATTGGGGGATGACAATGGGCCCCAGGAGCCGTCGCCATGGCCTGGAACTGAGGGGAAGACAGAGCCAGGGGTGTGCGACGACTCGCTGTCCCCTCTAGGAGGAGCCAGGACGCGGGCCATAGGTGGGTCGTGGGAGACGGGGGGAGGAGCAGAGATGTACTGAGCGCTCGGGCGGGCGCTGAAACAGTCCTGCTGGCTGGCTTCACCCTGTGAGACCAAAAAGGTGGCAGGCACAGGCGCGGCGCGACTGCTGGAGAAATCGCTCGAAGCGGTGGATCCCACTGAGCTCATCTCGTGCGACCTCAACTGTAAGAGATCGACGAGGCACAGGGTGACAGGCTGCGCCACCGAGGGGGTAGCAGCCGCGGCAAGGGATTGAAAATGACTGGTGTCAGGATCCTCGCTGGGGTTCATGTACGATCCCGAGGGCGGCCCCGCGGAAAGAAAGCCGGGGTCCCTTGACTCCTGCTCATGGCCAGTGAGGCCAGCAGGAGTCTGGTCCAGAGTGGGGCACGGATCCTGCGAGGTAACTGACGTGACAAATTGCGTGTTGTCTCGCGCAGAGAGCCTAGTAGTGCTAACAAAATGTTGCAAAAGGCTGGAGTCTGAGCTTTCGCTGAAGTCGGACTGCGGGTCCCTGGGAGAGACCGCACGGCCAGGGCCGCTGGGGCCCTGCACCTCGCTGTCCGGGCCGTTTTGGCCAGGGGGAGGCGGGTCCGAGGGAAGGGTATTTCCTGTTGAAGGCTCAGACGCGGTGGCAGGCGGCTGATAGTCGTGCGAGTGGAGAGTAGACTCCCAAAAACGCCACGCTTGTCCAGCCCAGTGTGGATTGGCGAGATGGCCTGGTCGGCCTGCCTCGACACAGATCCAGTGCCTTGCACGGAGGTAGGCGTCAAGAGCGCCCTGTAGCTCCAGGCCGTGCTGAGTCGGAAAAGCAATCCTCGTGCGCTCGAGACGCTGTAGGTAGGCTGAGCGACGAGCTTCTGAGAGTTGCCAAGCCCCGCTGCAGATTATTTCCGCCTGGCTGCGCCGTGCACGCCTGCTGTTGATACCGTGTGTGGGGTGCGAGAGCGGATGAAGGGGTGGAAGGGTGCGCGAGTATGCTTCTACCCACGGAACACAATCTTCAAGCCATCAGGCCATTGCCTGGTCGTCTGACATAAAAATGGCGTTGTAGTACCAGGACTTGAGCTTGTGCGAAAGCCTCTCGGTTATGCGCTCAGAGGCCGAGATGGCTTCAAGCAGGCCTGGAGGGGCAGGCTTGGAGGATGGGGAGGATGAGGTGTCTGCCATCACTGGGGGTTCCAGTGGCTGAACGTGCCAAGGGTAGGATGCCTTTTTCCGTAGCATCCGAGCCATCATGGTGGCGTCTTGACCCCGCGCCGCCCTTGGGAAGATTACTGGCAGCATGCAGTTGGTATTGTGCGATTGACTCAAACCCGGAGTTACTCGCAAGCTTAAAAGTCAGCCGTCGTCGTTCCCCCCCCCCCCCCGACCTCCACCCGCCGTTCCCGCAAGTGGCTCGATCATTGGCTCGCAAAGACTGGCTACTAGAAGCTGGCTCGTGCCCTCTGCCAGCACTCGTAGGCGCAAAATCTGGTAGCGGAGCGGGAGCAGTTGGGTGGGTATACTGCTGGGAGGCGCTGGCATCGGTCGACTGTGGGAGGACCAAAAAATCCAAGGCAGGGAGAAAGGATGTATTGAGCACGTCTAGACCCGCGTGCTGATGCAGCATGTGTGAGGATGAGAGAGGCACTGAATAAGGCGGCTCAGATAATTGGCTGGCCTCACCTATGTCTACTTGAAGCTCAGGATCGTAGAACTTCGCGTGGACGCAGCCCCAGGAGATTCCTATGCGCTGTCGGCAAGGCGCTGAGACACATGCGCGGGCTCGCCCGCGGGAGGCGACCGACTCCTCTCTGTGACGCCGTTGCCTTTGCCCTTGAAGCACATCTTGCCATTGTGGTCGATGTAGCTCTGAGGGCCTCGGAGCTGCTCCTGAGTGGGATTGATCTGGGTCGGGGCGAAATGATCGGGCGCAACGTAGGGTGTCTCCTGCGTTGGCGGGAGACACCACATCTGGGTCGGCCCAGGCGTTCCAGGAACTGGTTTGTCCTCGGGAGCCGTGGCCGCCGTCGGTGGTGTCCCTGGAACTGCGGTCGCTGGTGTCCCTGAAGCTGCTGCTGCAACAGAAGATTCCGTCAGTGTCCCAGGAGGAGAGGCCGCTGCTGCAGTCATGAACGCCGTAGGAATCGGGATGCCCTGAGCTTTGTACATCTCGATGATGGCCGCCTGGGGCTGAGCATCTGAGAGGGAAGCCGGCGCCGATGCTGTACTCCCTGCTGCTGGAAACCCCAATGCTGGCGCCGACGCTGGCTCGGCCGCCTGAGGAGTTGGGAAGGGGCCTACTGGTGGTGGCGGAGCTGCAGGCGGACAGTGGTTCAACATGTACTGATGCATGGGCCTCATCTGCGCCTCCATCTGCTGATTGTGCTGATAGATGAGGTCGCGCTGCTGAAGGGCTGCGTCGCGCTGCTCTCTGAATGAAGCCGCCTCTGATGGTGGCCCTGAGCTCGAGGGTGCTGTGCCCTGAGCTGTGCCAGGTTCCACTACCATGGGACTGGGAATCTCCTGGATGATGTCTGCGATCTCGGCCTTGATCTTGTTGTCGATGTCGATCAAGCTCTGGTTCAGGTCCCCAACTTCCTCCCGAACTTCTTCGGCCTGAGCTTCGAGCATATTGATCCTGGCATATGTGTTGTGCAATCGATCCTTCGCCTCGTTGAGCCTGGCCAGTGCTTGTTCTCTCTGCTGCTTCAGTGGCAGCAGCTGGTCCTGGCAATAGCGGAGCATGGAGAGCTCCTCCTTGAAGTCCTCGTCGCCTTTGCGGGCCCGCAGCGCTGCCACCGCTGCCTTTGCCAACGTTGTCATGCGAGAGGTGAGCCTGTCTTTGAAGGCCTGCATGTGGCGCATGTCCGCGGGGGCCTGCCACTCGCCCCAGTTGGGGTGGGCCTGAGCAAACTGCTGCGTAGCAGGGACCAGCCTGGTCAGGTAGCGCTCGACTGCCTTGCGGGTCTCGGACGTCTCCTTGTCCTCGCCACGCTGCTGCCGTCCACGCTCTTGAGGTCGATGACGTGCCTGATCTGGCGGTGGCCCCCTGGAGTCTGGCCGCGCCTTTGCCTCGATCTGCACCCACGGCTGGCGAGAGGAGGTGGCCTTGCTTGATTTGCTGGCTGATCGTGGCCGCCGAGACTGACTTTGTGACTTCTTGCGCCTGTCCGCAAAGGCACCACCGCACGCACAATACCACTGCCAGTGTTGGACACGCTCGTTGCATGAGCCGCAGGTCCATCCTGGGGTTCCTGTCGCCATCGGTGCGGCGCGTGGGGGCTGTTGAGCGCTGTGGTGCCCTCGCAGAAGATGCACTGCCTTGTGTACCCGAAGAAGGGTTCGGGCGTCTGCCCGACGGCGGCGCCGTCGTCGGTGCCAAGCAGGTTCTCGCTGCCTCGAGCGGGAACGACTCGATGCAAAGTCTGAATCAGGAATCGTAATGTTATGTGCCGTGGCTGGCGTTCGAAAGCCAACACACGTGAGGTCAGAGCTCCTGCGGGCGGCCTCCCTAGGCGCCCACTCGAGCCCAAACCTTTTCCTCCTCCTCCTCCTCCTCCCTTTGCTCCTCCTCCTCCTCCTCCTCCTCCTCCTCCTCCTCCTGCCCCCCCCCCCCCTGGGAGGCCGTCGTCGTCGACGATTGCGCCTGCGAGAGCGCCCGCGAGCTGCGTCGGACGCCGCGCCCGGCGCCGGGCGGCGCCCCGGGCGCCCTCGAGGGGCGGGCGCTCGGCGCCGCTTCGGAGGGGCCCGGCCTCGCCGACAAGGCGGGCCAGACGATCAACAATCGGGGGCGGCAAAGAGAGGGGCGGGTTAAGTCGGGCCTGTCCCTCTACGGGGGGGGTCTTCAAAAATAGGCTGACAATCGTCTGGGGATTCTCTTTTGAGTATTCTTTGACCATTTTGGAGTATTTTGGGGGTATTTCTTATTTTTCGTCGAAAATCTCCCTGTAGGGGGACAATCCCAACTTCACACGAGGGGGGGGCGGGGGGCGTGGGGGATCGGGGGCGGCAAAGGGGGGTGATGACTGGGGGTGGGTGGGTATCATGGCGGGGGCCATGGTCTCCCCAGGTTCCATGCCACCTGTTCTTATTTCAGTGCGTTCCTTGGCCCACCCCTGGGCCGCGCACGTGCCGCTGGCCATGATTTGCGCCCCCCACTCTTGGATGCCCCCCACTTGGCCGAACTCGAAAAACTGGGGTCGTCCTCCGATCGGGCGATCGGGCGGGCGGCAACAGGAGGCGACCTAAATGGGGAGCGAAGGCTTCAAAGGGCCCTTCATGGCCCCTTTTGGAGCCAGCTGGGGCCCCAGAGGGGCTTTGAAGGGTTTTGTTTGGGGGCCCTCCTGCACCTGCCATCCAGGTCGTCCCCCACTGCCACCCGGCCGATCCGACGAGGGGGAGGTTCCCACGCCGCTACCCGCTGGATTCGCTCTCATACACACACAACACATCACACAACACTAAACCACACCACACAACACAACAGCACACCACACCACACCACACCACACCACACCACACCACACCACACCACACCACACCACACCACACCACACCACACCACACCACACCACTCCCCTCCCACCACACCACACCACACAACACAAGATAACACACCACAACACAACACAGCACAACACAGCACAGCACTGCACTGCACTGCACAATACAACACAACACAACACAACACAACACACAACACACGCAACCCACACAACACACACAACACAACACACGCACACAACACACACAACACACACAGCACACACAACACACAACACACAACACACAACACACAACACACAACACACAACACACAACACACACAACGCACACATCACACAACACACACACCACACACCACACACACACACACGCACGCACGCGCGCACGCACTCACGCACGCACGCACACACAAACACAAACACACACACACAAACAACAACACACAACACACACACACACACACGACACACACACACACACACACGCACGCACGCACACACACACACAACGACTCCGACAACAAGGCTGCCTCTCCCTCCTCTCTCCCTCCCCTCTGACGCACCTATTTTGTAAATGTCCCGAATGCATGCTTTACCATACACCACAGTATCTTGGCGCCACAGCGCCACTGCTCCGTTCCCAGAGGGACCGCGCCCCGGCGCGCACGCGAGCGTCCGTCCGTCTGTCCGTCCGTGCGTCCTCCTCTTCCTCCTCCTCCTCCTCCTCCTCCTCTTCCTCCTCTTCCTCTTCCTCTTCCTCCTCCTCCTCCTCATCCTCCTCCTCCTCCTCCTCCTCTTCCTCCTCTTACTCCTCCTCCTCCTCCCACCAGCCCCTGCCCGGCCGAGCCGACCCTCGCAGGTCCCGCTTCGGCGGGCTTGCGCGCTCTGGTCCGTTCCGCTCTTCCTCTCGAGGTGGCGCCAACACGGATGAAGGTGCGTGGATGGGCGACGGGTCCGGTTTTCATACGAAGCCGTCGGGAACCTTACGACGGGGGTCCATGCAAATTGGGGTCAGCCAGATCGCTGGATCTTGCAGAACCCTGCAAAGCCAGGGTTGCATTGACCCAGGCTAGCGTGCAGGATTTGCAGCATCTTGCAGTATCTTGCAGGATCTTGGATTTGGCGCCTACGCGCCAGATCCATTGGTCCAGAATTCATGCTGCCGTGCGCCCGATCCTCCTCGGCCCTTGGCTCCGGGCTTTCGGCGGCGAACCTTACGAAAGCGGCGACCATATCCAACACGCGCGCCCTCGCCGACTGGATTTCTTTGGGCGCGATCCCGCGGTCACGCGGTCGTGCAGATACGGGACTTCCGCGAACAGAAGCGCCCCGCATCCGCGCAGTGGCGGTCCAATGGCCAGGCGGCCAGCCCTGCGATGCTGCGGATACGTGCGGATATTTAATGGCTTTCGGCCCACCCCGCCATAGTGATTGGGTTGTGGGTGAGAGCCTCTGGGATGTTTGTTGGTATCTCGTGGGAGGCCTCTCGGAGGCCCCTTCGAGTCAGTTTTGGGGCCTCGTGGGGGCCGTTTGGGGGCCCCAGTTGGGGCCTTTGGGGCCTCTTGGACCCTCTGGGGGCCTCTTGGGGGGTTCTTGTCGTGGTGGGCGCTTTCTGGCCACACCGCTCGGGAAACGATGTACTACAAAATGGGTATACCATACATTCTGGTCGGACGCGCGCCTCCAAGGAGGACATATAGTATTAGTATGTCGTTGCGCGTCCCAACCGATGCCGCTACCTTTGTGTCGTTTTTTGCATGAGCCACCTGGGAGGTCCTCGTCGCCACCGCATGATTATCCTCGATAGTATGGTCAGAACGTACCTTGGGAGAGGTCCGGGGAGCAGCGGTATCGTTACCTTTTTGTTCCCTTACAGAGGATATGGGTCAGCATCGTCGAACCTATCCCCATCCCCACTGGGCCATGGCGTTCCAGCCCCACCAGCCCACCCTCCTAGGTGAGGATGGGCCCCGTTGGACCCGAGGGAGCAGTCATGTATCCCCGCGCAGGTGGGCAAGTGGGCCAGCGGGGCCAAGGCCACGCCAGAGGGCATGGGGATCGGTTGCACGATGCTCGAAGGGGGCGGCGGAACCGGGGGCTTCTGTCGAAGAAGGATAGAGGGCATGCACCGATCAGAAATATTGAGAAAAGGCTTCACGTTTCGTTGGCTCCAGATTTCGCTCAAGAAAATCAAGAATCTGGGCTGGACCCTTGGCGTTCTCTTGGGGCTTTTTTCTCTTCGTGAAGTGTTCCTGTACATCTGGACCTGAACTCCTGTTTACGGAAAGGCTTGGAGCGAATGATATTTCTCAGCCCAGAGTTTTATCAACTCTAAGCAGGGGTGTAAACCTGAACTTTCGGAGTGTCGCGCGGATTGCTCGGGTCGTCGCCAGAACTACCCTGGCGGCGCGTCTTTGCCCCGCACCCGGCGCGCCCTCCGCGCGCCAGTGTTGGGCGCGAGTGAATGGGGGGGCGATGAATCGGGGGAGGGAGAAAGGTGCCTTTCTCGGGCCCGAAAGGCCCCCTCCGGGGCCTGAAATCATTCGCCGAGATGTTTTTCTCGATCCGCGGCCCCAGAGGTCCCGCGACCCCTTCCCCAGGGGCAGTGTTTCACCCCGGATCCATTCTCGATGGCCCCCCGTGCCCCCCCCGAGAGTGGGCCCCGGAAGCCGAACTCGAGGAAAGGGCCCTGTTCTGCAGCCCTCGGTGCCCCCCACTCTGCGCCGCCCAAGGCAGGTCCTCAGGATTTCGTCGTTCGGGTGGATTCGCGTGCGCGTGCGTCCGGTAATCGACGGGACAGCGCCGAGTCAGCGTCAAGTCGCGCAGAATGACGTCGACTTGCGTCGATTTCGCGTCGCTTAGCGTCGATTCGACCCGATTCGAATCGCCCCCCCCCCCGATTAGCGCGCGGCGGAGCCGTGCGTGGGTCCAGCACCGATGCGAGGAGGCGCTTTGCGCGCGGAGCTCCGAGGATCCGAGTTGTGCTCGTGCAGGGTGGGAGACACAGCCATGCAGACATCGCCCCTGGCGTTCGAGCCGATGGTCAGGAGCAGCGTTACGCTAGCGGCGAATATCAGGAAGGAACACAAACACAGACAGAATTCACCGTCGACCCCCAGGGCGAATATGGGAAAATGTGGGACGCGGGGAGGGAAGACGAACGCCCAGAACATATGGGAGAACATGGGGAATCCTCTTATCTGTGTGCCTTTGTTTTGTGCGTCCTGGGGCCCCTGCAGGCCAGACTCGGGGGGGGGAACGCGTCGACACCCCGTCGCCCAGCGATCGCCGCCAGACAGGGGCCCGAGCGGGTTTTCGGTCCTAGGCCGTTTTCACTACAGGGAGGCTTGCTAAAGGGAGGTTTGTCCACCGCCGAGAGTTGCTAAAGGTGCCCCTGGCCCACGATGCCCCCCGCTTTCCACTCGGCTTGGGAGCCCCTATGGGGCCCGCTGGGCTTCGTGATCGGGTGCTCTGGAGGCCATGGGGGCCTCCTTGGAATTCCTGGGGGCAGCTTGGGCCAGGGGCACTTCTAGCAACTTCCGAAAGTATTCGTCGATGCCCAGGAACGTATGAAAACATATGGGAAGCGGAGGGAAAGACGAACGTCCAGAACGTGCGGGAAAAGATGAGGAATCGGGGAACGTGTGTCTGTAGACTCGTGTGTCCCTGGGCCCCTCGAACGGTTTCGTTTTTCCAGCATTCTCGGATGCCTTGCGGCCCCCGATGCCCTGCTGCAGGCCTCCCTGGGGGCCCTCCCGAGAGGGCCCCCTCTTGCCCTCTCAGCAGGGGCCCCCTTGCCCTCGCCACCTGCCCCCCTCTGCGCGCCGCCCGGGGCGGGCAGGGGCGAGGGAGATGATCAAGGGAGGAACATCAGGCGATCGCAAACGTGGATTCATGGGGCGTGGATTGGCGACGGGTCGCGTTTCCTCGGGAAATCGCGGATTGTCGCCGCCGAGCGAGGCGGCACCGGCCGCATTCTGGGGAGGGCACTTCCCCGGATCCATGGATTTGGCGACACCTCGCGCCAAATCCATGGATCGCTAATCCATGTTTGCGCGTCCCCGAGAACAGTGATTCGTCGGCGAGCGAGGGTGGGAAGCGAGAAGGAGAAGGCCTTCTCGGAAGGCGGCGGGACTTTTCAGAAGCCCTCGCGCCTTCCGAGAAGTTTTCTGTGTCTTCGGGGAAGGCCTAGAAGACTTGTCAGAAGGCTGGGGTATTTCCGAGCCTTCCTAGAGGGCCCACCCCTTCTAATTTCCACCACGGGTTTGCCGCCCAGTGATGATCAGCGAAGATGGTCTATCGTCGATGCGGCTCGATGTGGGGCCAACTTTCCTCCACGCCGACGTCGCGGATGCATCGTCGACGTCGCCGATGCATCGCCGGTGCATCGCCGATGCATCTTCGATGCGGCGCGATCCTCCGACCCCATCCACTCGGAGCCCATCTAGGAGGCCTCTAGAGGAAGAGTGAATGAAGATGATCGAGATGACCGATGGAGGAAACGAGCTACCCGGCCCAAGCAGTCGCCGTTTGCGGAGCGGCCCTGGGCGTCGATTGGGCAGCCTTACCTTGTTCAGTTCCTTCCCTGGGTGCGTTGACCAAACGGCCTCGTTTTTGTCGGGGTGGCGATTTCCCATCGGCCATCGAAAGTAAGTATTTCTGGAGTCCCAGATTCCAATCTAATTTAACCGCCTTCCTACTTCAATGATCGAGTGGCGTCACCTTTTCCATCCTTTTTAGGGGGCGGGCGGACACCCAATATATTCTCAAAGCCTTCCTACTTCATGTTTCTACCTACTTCCTTCCGACGGATGGGTACGAGGGTGGGCCTCTTCTGCCCTCTAGATGAGGCGCTGGAGGCGGCGGGGCACGCGGCAGGTGATCGGACAACAAACATTGCAGAAGTGTCTCTGAGGTCCGCGCGGATCTCTTGGATCGGCGCGGGACCCCCCTCGAGGTGCCTCTGGCGCCGCCCCGGGCGAGCTCCGTGCGCCAGCGGAGGGGGATCCAGCGTCCATCCCGGAGATCCGCGAGGAGCTCCGAGAAACTATTTCGGGTGCGGCAAAGAGGGGGTGATGACTAGGGGGGGTGTAAATGGCGGGGGCCATGATATTTCCTCATATTTCATGGCGCCTCTTCTTACTCCGTGACGTCCCTGGCCCCCCCGCTGGGCCGCGCACATGCCGCCGGTCATGATTTGCACCCTCCGTCTTGGACACCCCCCTCTTGGCCGCTCTCGACTATTGTTCATGCGTTTTTTTCTTGATCTAGGTGAAGAGCTCGGCGATCGTGGAGTGACCGAGCTCGTCTCGTGCCTCTGGCTCAGCCCCGCGGCGGGAGCGGCCTCCGCCTCCGCGGTGTCTGCGGGCGAGGGCGGCACGGCGGCGCCTCGCGTCTTCTGCGAGCAGGTCTTGGCCGACGCCGGCGCGGCGCTGCTCGCCAGCACGCCGAAGCCCATTGGGGCATCCGTGCCCTCGGAGGGCTGGGCGGGAGGCGAGCTGGCTGGCGCTCGCCCTCGCCAGGAAGCGGCCCTTGTCGACGCTGCAGAGCGTCGTCGCCCTCTCGTGGCACAGGCCGAGGGCACCATCGGGGAGGGTGCGGAGGAGTCGTGCCCGACGGCGGTTGTTGCTGTGGAGGCTTTCCAGGGTCAGCGGTCCAGCGTCAGTCTGAGCAGCAGCTGTCTGGCTGACGAGGGCGTCTGCGACACCGCCGGTGAGCTAGATCAGCTGCTGAAGGAACCGAAGGAACAAGAGGAGGAACAAGGTGAGGAGGAGGAGGAGGAGGAGGAGGAGGAGGAGGAGGAGGAGGGTGCGGATGCGGTCGAGGTGGCGGGGCATGGTGAGGGCGAGGGCTGTGGCCCCGCGGGCATGCCCAGCCCCTCGGCGGGGGCGGCCCCTGTGTCCGCGATGGCCGCGTACGAGGGCGGCAAGGCGGCGCCCATTCTCGACGAGCCGGTCTTGGTCGACGCCGGCGCAGCGCCTCTCGCGGGCGGCGAGCTGGCTGGCGCTCGCCCTCGTCAGGAAGCGGCCATTGTCGACGCTGCAGAGCGTCGTCGCCCTCTTGTGGCACAGGCCGAGGGCACCATCGAGACACCATCGAGGACGGCTTCCGCGGACGTGGGCGGCACGGCTGCGCCGCTCTTCTTCCATGAGCCGGCTCTGAAGGACGTCGACGCGGCGCTCCTCGCGAGCACACCGCAGCCCGTCAGGGCGCTCACTCCTTCGGATCGGTACGATCGAAATGGGCACGGAAGGAATGGGGACGAAGGCTGACAGCAGTTTTTGATCATTTTGACCAGGGCTCGCTGTCGTGGCCGCCGCGGGCGTTGTCCATTTGAGACCGAGTGCTGCCCGTCCAACGCGGCCGCGGTTGGTGTTGGACAAGATTCCCCACACTGTACCTGCACTCAGGGGGTGTTGCTTTTCTCACAAGAAATTGGGCCTGGTTGCCCGTTCCGCCGTCTTGTAGCCGCCCGTCGCCGCATGCCGCTGCATCATTTTTGGTCACGATTCTTCTGTTATGAGGTACGCACCTTGCATTGCTCCGCATTGCATTGCATTGTTTTGCGCTGCATTGTTTTGCACTGCTTAGCATTGCATTGCATTGGTTTGCATAGCTTCGCGTAGCTTCGCATGGCTTCATATTGTGTTGCTCTGCGTTGCTTTGCGTTGCTTTGTATTGCATTGTTTTGCATTGCATTGCATAGCACTGCATTGCATTGCGATTCACTGTGTTGCTCTGCTGTGCTTCGCATTGCTCTACTTCTGTTTGCATAGCATCGCGCTGCTTCGCATTGCTTGCCACAAGGGCGCACGGCGGGCCAAATGTTTTGGTTTTCCTGGTGTTGGTGAAGATTGCCAGTTGGGTCTCGGCCTTTCGCGACGGCCTCCCGGGAAGCCGCATAACAAAAACGTATCCTCTTGCCCAAACCGCCTCCAGGACGGCCAATCTGGTCCAAGGCTTCCAAGACAGTCCCAAGACGCCTCCGAGACGGCCAAGATTGCCCCAAGATGGCCGCAGGATATCTCCCAGACGGCCCAAGAAGCACCCAAGCAGCCTGAGATGGCTTCAAGATGGCCAATGACCGCCCCAGTGGCCCCCAAGAGGCTTCCGAGACGGCACAAGAGGCCTCCAAGAGGTCTCCTGGAAAGGCCTTACGAAGCCAACATCGTGCAGTTTGTGTCGTGTTTCGAGGACACTGGCATTCACTCCCCAAAACAGGGCTTGCACTTGGGGGTTCTGACATGCCTTCTTCTAAGGAAGCCGAGCTCCCGTGGCGGTCTGGCCAGCTCGTCGCCGCCCGCCGCCGCCGCCGCTGGTAACTCAGCCCCAGTGGCGATCCGGCTGGCTCGTCGCCGCCCGTCGCGGCCGTCGCTGCCGAATCGTTCTGCATTGAAGCCGTGTTGAATTGCAATCGCATGGAATCGAGGTGCATCGCCTTGATTTGCTTTGCTTTGCGTTGCATTGCTCTGTGTAGCGTTGCGTTGCGTTGCGTTGCTCCGCATGTTTTTTTCATTTGAATCGCGTTGCAGTCGCATTGCATTCGCATCGCAATCGCATTGCAATGGCATTGCAATAGCACTGCCATCGCTTTTCTTCGCATGGCTTTGTATTGCTTTGCGCCACATCGAATGCACCCTATGGATTGCACCACCTAGATTGAACCACATAGATGGCACCACCTGGAGTGGACTGCATACACTGCAGGAATCCCTATCAGGGGTGCACGCTGGCTGACACATTTGCTGTTGGGCATCGTGCCCATTTCTTCCGTACCCATCTCGGGCGTACAAATCGGAGGACTGTGCGGTCGGCGACCTTGTCGGAGCCGACCCTTGTCAGGACGCGACGCTCGTCGACGCTGCAGAGTGCCGTCGCCACCTCTTCGCAGAATTTGAGGGCACCACTGGGATCTGTACAGATGCTTCGACTCCGACACCGGGTGCTGCTGGCTGTCTCGCTGACGAGGGCGTCTTCGACACAGCCGGTGAGCTGGCTCAGCTGCTGAAGGAACCGAAGGAACAAGAGGAGGAACAAGGTGAGGAGGAGGAAGAGGAGGAAGAGGATGAGGAGGAGGAGGAGAAGGAGGAGGAGGAGGGTGCGGATGCGGTCGAGGTGGCTGAGCATGGTGAGGGCGAGGGCTGTGGCCCCGCGGGCATACCCAGCTCCGCGGCGCGGGCGGCCCCTGTGTCCGCGATGGCCGCGTACGAGGGCGGCAAGGCGGCGCCCATTCTCGACGAGCCGGTCTTGGTCGACGCCGGCGCAGCGCCTCTCGCGGGCGGCGAGCTGGCTGGCGCTCGCCCTCGCCAGGAAGCGGCCCTTGTCGACGCTGCAGAGCGTCGTCGCCCTCTTGTGGCACAGGCCGAGGGCACCATCGAGGAGGATGCGGAGGAGTCGTGCCCGACGGCGGTTGTTGCTGTGGAGGCTTTCCAGGGCCAGGGATCCAGCGTCAGTCTGAGAAGCAGCCGTCTGGCTGACGAGGGCGTCTGCGAGACCGCCTGCGAGCTGGCTCAGCTGCCGAGTCAACCGAGGGAACACGTGGAGGAGCAAGGGGAGCAGGAGGCGGAGGAGGAGGAGGAGGAGGAGGAGGGTGATGATGCCGCTGCGGAGGCCATCCAGGAGCAGCAGCGGGAGTCCCGCGGGGCAAGCCGCCTCGTCGACGAGGGCGTCTGCGAGAGCGCCGACGAGCTGGTGCGGCTGCTCGGGGGCCCCTGCCGCGCGGGCCCGGCGGGGGCTCGGGCGAGCTTCTCAGGGGAGGAGCAGCACCCCGAGCGGAGGGGCCAGGGCGCGAGCTGGAGTGGCGTGCAGGGCCTGGGGCCGTCGGGAGAAGCGCAGCGGGGCCAGGTCGAAGAAGCTGGCCGCGGCCAGGAGGCGATGTCACTCTTGGCGTGCCGTCGCAGGCTGCCCTGCGAGCAGGAGGAGGGCGAGGAGGAGGGTCAGGGCGAAGCAGCGGAGGAGCGCGGGCCGCGTCAAGAAGAGGCGGGCTGCATCGCCAGCTCCGACGTCCTCGGGTTCAGGTGCGGCCCTTCCCGCTTGCCCTCTGATTCGTCTGCCTTGCATCCTGTTTTGCGCGTGACCTTGCTGCATTCAGGAGGGACAACATACAGACACAAATAATCGCCGATACCCAGGAACATCTACGAAGCGGCGGGGAAGACACGACTCAAGAACACGTGGAACACTTGCTGCATCCTGGGATCCGTGTCTATTGATGTGTGTGTGTGTGTGTGTGTCCTCGGGCCCCTTCAGTGTATCCGGTTTTGCGCCTGACCTCTTGCGGCATGCCCGTATCCAAGAGCCCCTCCGCTCGAGTGGTACTGGTGGGGCGGACGAGCGGGGGAGCCGGGAGGTGCGCCAGGGGCGGCCCGGCGTCGACCCAAGACATCCGCGCGGGCCTTCGAGCTGCTGTATTGCTGGTGGCGGGTGTGCCCTCACACGCTGGTCGTCGAAAGTAACACTTCAAGAGCGCCTTCCTGCTTCAATCGTCCATGTGCTCTGTCGTTCTTTGCTATGCTGTGGGCGGGCCCGAACCCAATCTGCTTTGTCCGCCTTCCTGCTCCATGTTTCCACGTGCTTTGTCTGACCCGGCGGGTACCCAGGCATCCGGCCCCTCCAATTTTTTTTGATACGTGGGCCCCGGAGGTCCAGGCCACTTCCTTGGGGCCGGTTTGTCGACTTCGGTCGTTGTTTTGACACTCCCAAGGCCCGGCGGGGGCACGCCCGCTGCAACTTTGTTTGCAGCGTCGGATCTCTGGGTAAACATCGGGGCGCTGAGAAAATGGGTCACCCCCAGGCAGGTCGACAGACAAATTCTGCACCAGCTCACCTGACAATGCTATTCGAAGCGTGCCCGTGCAGTCCCCCGTCCACTTCGCTGATCGGCGTGTGGCTTACCACGTGCATTGCCAGGTAACCGAGGCGCGGGTAAGCGCATGAGCTCGCGGGGACGAGCGACACGAATAATACGCGCGAGTCAGACCACACACCCACACGCTGTGTAGACGTGCTCCAACACAGCTCTGGGACGAAAGAGTCAATCGGCGCGCGTCCATGCAAGCGGCGCCCGCCGTGATCTCGCCTCGACGGGGACATAACATAACAACTGCACTTGGAAATTGGAGCGCGGCCGTCGCCCCGGTATACCACCTCGCATGCGTACCTTGGCGCAGAAGTGCCAGAAGGTGTGCGCAGTTCGCAAACGACCCAGACACCAGAATTCATCTGAATACTGTTATGTTGGGGGTGTCCTGGGATGAGCTTTTGAAAGCCACGCGCAGAACGGGGTACTGGGGGGGGGACTTCTTAGAAAAGCCCTGCTGCTTAGGAGAGGCGGCCTTGTCTGTGGACGCAGGGCCGGCGCCCTCTAAGCAGCGGCCTCCTTCCAAGAAGCCTCTCCCCCGTCCCCCTGCCCCCCTGGTGCGCGCCGCCGAGCGTGGCGTCCTCAGGGCGAGGTGCTTCGAGCAGCGCAAGCCCACCCTCGGAGCCCTTCCTGCCCTTGGGCTTCCCAACGCCTCGTGCTCCCGGGCTTGCGCTGCCGACTCCGCCGACGCCCGAGGCCCCTGGAGCCCCGAGATCCGGGCGAATTGCGTCCGAGGCGGGCCAGCCGAGACGGCGCCGGCCCTCCCTGGCGCTGTCCGCTCTCTCTCGGGGCCGCCCAGAGGCGTGTCCTCGCCACGGCTGGATCCGCCTCGCAGAGCAGGTCAGGATGGCCCCCGGGGAAGGGTCTGGTCAGAGCCCCGAATCATCGGGGGTAACTCGGGTCAGGGCTAACTCGGGTTCGTTCTTCGGGAATCCGAACCCGAGTTGCCCCGGGCCCCAGTTACCCCGGATAATTCGGGCGCTCAATTTGGGGACCGATTCTGTGTGGATTTGCGTTTGGCGGGAGGGGGAGCCGCCGTTGATTCAGCTGGCCCTCTGATGATTGCAATATAGTAGTTTTGCACTCCGCGTTTTCGTGCGGTTTCGGGACCCGGGCCCAGCAAAGATCCCGCTCCAAAAACGCTGCAGAGAGATGCGAGGGCTCTGGTCGTCATGTCTCACGACGCTGCATTCTGTTTGTGACGTCGGATCTCAGGGTCGCCGACGTCTGAGCCTTCCTCCCGATACACAGGAGGGCGTGTTCACCAGATAGCCAAGACGCTGCGAGGAGGTCCACGTCGGTTTTTCAGGAGGGGCTCTGATTTGCGGGCCGTTGCTTAGGTTTGCGGTGTCGGTCGGGGCACCTGTTCGAAGCCGAGGCTCGCCGTGGCCAGAGACGCCCATCTTCCAGGCACAACAGAGAACCACAACCACAACTGAATGGAATTTTCGTGAGGACCCTTCGAGCCCACCAACCTCGACATGACCACTTTGGTTGTGATTTCGGTTCATTAGGGCGTCCTGGGATGCCAAATCTGCCACAAGCAGTACGAAGTTGGCTTCCGTGTTCCAAGAGTTCTTGGCATGCGCAAGACATCCCCCAGGGTGTGTCTTCGATGTGGTTGCGGTCGGTTGTTGTCCCCGCACCTTCGTTCCTGATTCAGCGTTCCTTCTGGTAGCGCGATGGCTGCACACATTATCGTACCCATCTTGGCCAGTATTCATAGTGCGCAGTTGGGATGTAGACCGCTCCCCTGCGTTCTGATGTGCAAGTCCTCAATACAATGCTCCAGGAGGGCCTTACACAGACTCAAGGGACTCCAAGACATCAGTGGATACGAGCGTACAGACAAAATTCATGTGAAGGATACACGGGTATCCTTAGGATACCTTTGCGTCCTTGCCTCTGCGGCCCGTCCGTCGCGGTTTTCACTTGCCAGCACGTCAGGTTGTTGGCAGCCGACAGTGCTATTTCGGCGTCCAAGGCCCTTGCGTCCTTACCGCCCGACCTTACTACAGGTCTTCACTGTATAGGCAAAGTACCAGACAACTGTATCAAACGTATACGAAACGCCATGACGCGTATCTGAAGGTTTGCAGAAACGAGTAGGAAACGCATGCGATACGCTTTAGAAACGCATGCGGACCGTACCCCCAACGTACACGAACCCGTACGCGCAACATCTGTGATCTGTCGATGATGTTAACCAGTCCTTGGGGACCCCACACATCCGATAGGAATCCTTCAAGACTGCCCCAGGAAACGTCACAAAATCCATCAGGCATCCTGGGCACGTCCCAAAGCTTGCAGCTATGGTCAGAGCGCCCTGCGGCCGGGCCAGCGCGTCCACGTGCCGCGCAGCCAGGCCCAGGCGCCGTAGCGGGCTCATCTGGGGACCCCGCCGACATGCATGATGAGGAGAATGCCGAGGAATCCATCGGGATTCTTTCGGGGATTCTCCGGAATCTTAAGGACTATCAGGGACCTTCAGGAAAATCTCATGGATCCAGGAAGCTTATAGAGGAATTCTCAGGCGACCTTCAGAAAACCGTCAGGGACTCAAAGTCACCAGGAGTGGTTTGGAAACCATCAGGAATTCCCTCGGGCCCCTTGAGGAATCTTCAGGCATCCTTTCTCGGAATCTCGCAGAACTCCAGAAAGAATCCTCAGGAAACCTGAATGAAACCATTCAGGCATTTTTCAGGGACCCTTCATGATTTCACAGGGAGCCCCAGGAATTGTTCAGGATTTGTTTTGCAATCCTCCCGGGATCCTCAGGAATCTTATTTCAGAATTCTTCAGGACCCCCGCAGGAATCCTCAAGGATCTTCAGGAATCCGCAGGAATCTTCTGGAATTTTTCAGGAGTCTTCCAGAAACCCGCAAGAGTCCTCGGCAATCCCTCAGGAATCCTCCAGGAGTTCTTTCGGAATCCCGAAGAGATCTTAAGTAACCTTGTGTTTCTTCCAAGTGTCAGGACTCTTCAGGAATCCTTCAGGGAACCGTCGACGAACCCACGGGAGTCCTGCACAACGCCGAGGACGCGCCTTCAAGGAAGCGCCTACGAAGTGCTTATCAAGCGCCTACGTAGCGCTTTCCAACTTCAAAAACTTACCGTTCCGGAGTGATCTGGACCGTGGGGTCCAGATCCTTGCTTATCAAGTGGGTTGGAACTGGACCGTTCCGGTTTCATGACCAGTTCGGATTTGGACGGCCTGGTTGGGATTTGAACCGTGCAGTTGGGATCTGGATTTCTCCCCCGCAGGCCTTCGCAGGCGTTCTCCTGGGCTGGCCCCCTCGGCGGCCCCCCATCAGCCCGTCCTGTCGCCGTCGCCGCAGACGCTCGCCGTCGCCGCCGCCGCCGCCCGTCGTCGCCGCCACCGCCCGCCGCCGTCGGGCCAAGCCGCGCCGCCTCGCAGGCGCCCTCTGGCCGCCCACGTGGCCACGATGCTGGCCACGGTGGCCGCGGACAGGGCGGCGACGGCGCTGGCTTGGGCGGTCGGGGCGGAGGACGGCGTCGCCTTTGCAGTCCTTCCTAAAGCACGGAAGAGGACGAAGAGGAGGAGGAGGAACAGTCCACAGCCATTGTTGCTCAAGGGGCCTGCTCCTGAACTTCCTCACCTCTGCTCGAGAGCCAGTTGCGTGGCGAAGGTGGCCCACGAGCAAGCGGCTTGGGTTTCGAGACCCTGTTTTCTCAGTTCCGCACGCGCCGTCTGCGTGGGCATGTGGAAATTGTGATTATCACAACTATGGATTTCGAGCCATGTGCCGGCAGGTTGGCTACGATGGCCAGGGGCCAAAAGGTCATGCGTCTTTTCAATGGTCCTCCTCGTCATCGGGCTCGCTGGACTCAGAGGGCTTGGATGTGGGGGTCTCTCACTTCGGCAGCTTCGCGGCTCCTCCCCCCCAGCCGCAGCCCCAGCAGTTCGACGAGGTTCAGTCTGCGATGTGGTTGGCGATGTCGGGGGATCATTGTCATTGCAGCCACAGCGATTATGCTTCAAAGTCTTAGGGACAAGCTCCGCAACCTGCGCTGGCGGCAGGCTCACGGTGTCAAAGGCTTTATGTCCATCGAGAGAGTGAAGGACGCGCAGCACGCCATCGACGCGAAGGCGTCCGAGTTGCAGAGTGCTAAGAGCATCTACGAGAAGAAACGTGCTGCAGTGGCGAAGGCCGCTGTGGAGTTCAAGGGAACTGAAATGAGCGCTGCGTAGTTGTACCAAATGGTGCGGAATCTACTGAAGGATGCGAGAGCCTACGTTGGCCGCCAGAAGCAATTAAGCTTCCGGGCCAACCTCAGGCGGTCGGTGGTATTGTTTTTCTGGCAGTTCAGACTGTTGTTCCGTTTGTTCTGCAAGGTGGGAAGGCAAGTTGATGAAGCTCTGGCTGGCCCACTCTCAGCTCTTCTGCAGTTTTTGTCGGCTCCACACGCAGCGGTGACCGGCGTTGCCACTCCTACTTCAGGCGCGCATGCTGCTGCAGCTGCACAGGCTATATTTATACTGGTGGGCGTTGGCTTCGAGGAGGCTTCCGAGAAGGTGGGTGGGTCCCTGCCGATGTCTGGTGAGGACAACGCGTGGGCAGCTGGTGGCATACCGATGCGTGAAGCGGACAAACCGAAGTACAACAGTGATTTCACAGACGAGGTGGCGGCGGCTAAGAAGGCGAGACCGTTTTCCGGTCGACGAGCTC